TCATCCATCATGTCCAGCATGTGAGGGGGTTTCTCAATAATTCGACATATTACGCCGTATGAATCGGGCTCTTGAATGGTGGGAGGGACCTCTTCAACGATGACAGGGGCCTCTTGAACGGTGGGAGGGGACTCTTGAGGGATGATAGAGGCCTCTTGAACGATAGGAGAGGCCTCTTGAACGATGAATGGTGAGTCGGGCTTCTTCTTACAGAGTCTTCGCACTATTGGTGTAAACGGAGACATAATGGCACGTGTACGCCGTCTGATGCGTGAACCCCGTCGTGCAAGAAAAACCCGACGTAAAGCATCCACCTTATCGGGCCGCTAAAAATAAATTAATACATAAATCAGTAAATAAACAGACATGATATTAAACACTGAAAACAAAGACAAATATGTTTCAAACTTGCACGGTATTCACCCAAGTCATTATTCTATCATAGTTCACAAAATGCATCAGATAACATTCCGGAAGTAAGCAATTATAAACATTTAAAAGGACATCATATAGGTTTAGTGCATGTTCAAGGACAACATAAAGAGTAGTAGTTTATTCTTGAAACTTAAATTTGCAACACTGTGAAGTTAGTATTTGTCTTTGTCTTTTGGTTGAAGTAATCCAATCCATTCAAGTTTCAATTTACAAAAGAAGAATAGTTTTTGAAACTTAAAATCGCAACACGAAACTTAAATCGCAACGCAAAAATGACTATCGCAACGGGATAATCGCAATGCGAAATAAAAATCGCAACGCGAAACTAAATTTGCGTTGCGATAGTCATTATCGCATTGCGATTTTCACGTTGCAATTTTTATTTCGTATTGCGATTATCCCGTTGCGATAGTCAACTTCGCGCTGCGATAGTCATTTCCGCGTTGCGATAGTCATTTTCGCGTTGCGATTTAAATTTCGTGTTGCGACTATTCTTCTTCAACAAATTGAAACTTGAATGGATTGCATTACTTCAACCAAAAGACAAAACAAAGATAAATACTAACTTCACAGGGTTATTTTAGAACTGTTTAGCAGTATTGGTAGAAACCGAATGAATTTACTAAGCAATCTAAGTGAAATGGTTAATCTAAGTGAAATTATGAGTAAATCAAGTTAAATATAAAAAATCTTAAACTTACCTCGTTGCGTAGAGTATGAACCTCAATCTGCAACGATACTACCATCTCACGTAGAGCCGCTACCTCACCACGTAAAGTAGATACCTCGTCACGCCATGTACCATTGTCATCGCGTAAAGTACCGACCTCCTCACGCAAGGCATTGACCTCATCACGTAACTCCCCTAACTCATCCCGTGGAGGTGGAGGTGGAGAATAGGGAGATAAATGTCGTGGTATCTTTGCCGGTCGCCTATCATGAGGTGATGGTGGAGAAGAGGCTCGATGATGTGACGGAATAGGTGATGGCTCTCGTTGTAGAGGTATATAGTGTGGTCAATCAGGTGATGGCTCTGGGTGAGGTGATGGCTCTCAAAGTGGAGACTGCTCATCATCCGTGCCATCAAAAAAACGCTTATTAGCTTGCCACCAATCAGTGGTAAGCTCAGCCTCCGTGGGTGTCTGCCTCTGTAATGGAGTGTTGGCCTCCTAACAATATAAAAGCTCAAACAAAGTTAAACGTGTACTAGTAATAACTTGTTTATATATATGGTAGTATTTGTGTTAACTTACATCATTTATTGTCGTATACCGTAGTAACTCTTCCCAAATCAACAACCGCCGTTTCCTCTTCCAAGAAATAGCTCTAGGAATATCATTTGAAGTTTTTAATGCATATGTCTGTATGTCGGGAAAAGCCTCAAATATCCAAATCTACAAAAACAATATAATACACAAACATTAGTAATTATTAAATAATTAATTATAATTTTGGAAACATTATATATAAATTCTTACCTTAAAGGCCCAAATAAAGCCTGACAAAGTGTATTTGGAACCATCGCCACGCAAACTTTTACGGTCATCAAAAGCAGACGACAACTTATTCCAAGTAGCTTTCCATAGATACGAACCCCACGAAAACATGTTCCATGCATTTAGGTCCTCTACCAATAATATTAGGTCCTTAGAAATAGGTTGTCTGGCCTCTCTGCCTAAAAAGCCGGCATGCAAAAGTACTAAAAGGCATACTCGGACAACATCGACGTCATCCATCCGAGTAAAACCATCTTTCTTATTCAATAATCTCGTCAAGTCATCGACGTATAAATTCGGGTTCTCCATTGATAGCTCAGGAAAAACCCGGGATAACCATGATGAGCGGGTAATATGACTAGTGTATCGACCTACATCATCATGTCCGAAGCGTAGACCAGTGATTAAGCAAAACTCTTCACGCCTAAAACACGTATACGCTGGTGGAAAATGAAACCATATCTCTTCATTACCACGTTTTATACTCTCGGGTAGATCGCTAGTCATGGTCTGAAGCCACAAATGGGTCAACATAGCATCTCCACCCGGATGTTGTACTTTCAACCATGGCCCGAAGCAAGTATCCTCAAACAATGTTCTTTGTACATCTGAAAGCTTCGACGTAATTGTAGTGACTAGGCTTATTTTATTCCTTAAGGTCAATTGAGCCGAAAAAAAGTTCTACTAAAACAATAAACATACCAAGTTAGATTAAAAACTACACTGTGAAGATATACCAAAAACAATAAAGAGTAGTAGTAGTTTATTCTTCAAACTTAAATTTGCAACACTGTGAATTTCATATTTGTCTTTGTTTTTTGGTTGAAGTAATGCAATTCATTCAAGTTTCAATTTGCAAAAGAATAATAGTTTCTGAAACTTAAAATCGCAACACGAAAATGACTATCGCAATGCGAATTTGACTATCACAACGAGATAATCGCAACGCCAAATGAAAATCGCAACACGAAAATGACTATCGCAACGCGAATTTGACTATCGTTGCGATTTTCATTTCGCGTTGTTATCCTCGGTTTCAAATAGTCATTGTCTAAAATTGAAACTTGAATGAATTGCATTACTTCAACCAAAAGACAAATACTAACTTTACAGGGTCAAATACTAAACAATTTAGCAGTATTGGCAGCAATCGAATGAATTTAATAAGCAATCTAAGTGAAATGGTTAATCTATTATTGAAATTACCAGACTTATCATCAATTTCAATATGAAAAACCTAATAATAATGCAAAAATTTCAAAATAAAAATAATTAAAAAAACTAACCCTTGGTGGTTGATTTGGTTGATTTTCCATTTCTGATCGTGAATGATTGTGAGGGTGGCTCTGAGAGATGGAGATAGATGGATTTCGTCGGAGATGGGGATGGATTTCGTCTGAGATGGGGACGGATGTCACCGTAGAGAGTGAGAATGGAGATGGGATTGAGTTGTGATTTAGGTTTTTAGGTTAAGAGTTGCGATTACGGGATGTATTAATATTCGTGTTTGGAATTTGAAAATAAAATACGCGTTGCGATACTAATGGCGCTTTGAAAATCGCATTGCGATTTTGTATTATCTCGTTGCGATAGTCAGAATCGCGTTGCGATTATGTATTATCGCGTTGCGATAGTCAGAATCGCGTTGCGATTATGTATTATCGCGTTGCGATAGTCAAAATCGCGTTGCGATTTACATATTCGTATTGCGATTTTACAAAATCGCAACGCGAATTTGGAAAATCGCAATGCGATAGTCAAAATCGCGTTGCAAATCTGAAAACTGATTTGCGATACTGGAGATCGCGTTGCGATTTAGAGACCGCATTGCGTTTTTTTTGGTCATTTTGGCAAATCGAAAAAAAGTTGGTCAAAATCGAATATTATAAGGAATTTTCGGTCACTGAGGTTATTTTCTCTTGTTTTTTTCCCGATCTTTTTTCCCTCCCTTGTTTTTTCTGGAAAGGCTCTGATAAATCAGCTTCAGGTGTGAGAGTCAGTTGGCAGAACATTTGCAAACTGAAATCAGAGGGAGGATTAGGATTGAAAAATCTGAAAGATTAGAACAGAGCTTGTATGATTAACCTTATTAAAAATATCCTTGCAGGTGAAGGTTCATTATGGGTTGCATGGATCCACGCCTATGTTCTAAAAGAATCTGATTTTAGGCTTATGAACGGATATGCTAACACAAGCTGGAGTCTTAGAAAAATTTTCAAGCTCAGAACTGAAGCTCTTCCGTTACCGTTGAATGGCACCCATTATATTAAACAAATTTGGCAAGAGATTAGACACAAGGGAGACAAAATGACATGGCATACTTTGATATGGTTCCCACAACATATTCCCAAGCATAGTTTAATTGGTTGGATGGCAATCTTAGATAGACTTCCCACTAAAGACCGATTGCAACGTATGGGAATCATTTCTTCTGGGATTTGTGTTCTTTGTAATGACATGCAGGAAAATCGAAATCACTTGTTCTTTGACTATCATTTTGCTGCTCATTTAAGCGAGAATACCCTTCATCTCTGTGGTTTGAATAAGACATTCCGATCCTGGGAAGAAATGGTTGATTGGGCAAGTAAATCATGGAAAGACAAGTCTCTCTTAACCACTATTCTCAAAATCACTTGGAACGCCAACGTTTATGTTCTGTGGGAGGAACGAAATCGTAGAATTTTCAAAGATTGCTCTCGAAATCCTGACATCTTCAGAAGCATTAAAGATCTTGTAGGTATTAAGTTGAGGGGGAAAACATCAATAGACTTGACCATGTCAATTCTAAACTTTGTATATCTTGGGGTATAGATTAAACTGATTGTTTTTGTATTTTTAGAATGTAATTATTCCAGGTGATCAGATATTGATTTTTGTAGCATTTTGGCTTCTTTTGGTAATAAAATTTGAATTATCAAAAAAAAAAAAATCAGACTAGAGTGAAATAAATACAATATATCACGGGTGAAACTTAATGCGAAAGTTGCAAGACTTGTTTGCTAAGTGGAAGCCAAGAAGCAAAGAAAGAAATGTCTCAAGCGTGTGGTATGTGGAATGGAATTATAATTATCATCGAAACAAGTTCCAGTGCCGCATAAAAGTTTCTGTAGTTTCAGTAGTAGCAATACCAGCGGTACCGTTGGGTCCTTTGCCTCTCATAACTTGCTGTTGAACAACCAACACAGAATCTGCATTAACACTCTCAGAAGATGATACATAATCCCCAATTATCCCAATCTCCTCTTGATTCTCTGTCCATGTTGATAATCCCTCCAACAGACTGGGATTTATCTCTTGTTTCCTCCCCAAGATCCACATATCATAATATTTCTCTTTTGCCATTTCCAATATTGCTGCAGCTGTTTCTGCTCCATCTCTTACCACCACCTCTCTGTAACTCACTCGCTCGTTTCTTTCGTTCTGTACCCAGAATGTTGTCATCAAGTTATCATCCATCTTCTTTTGCATTTCATTGTCTCCTTCACCGTTTGATGAAAGAAACCTTATTACTGTTAAGGACACACTAGGGTTCCTGGCAACCCTGGTTGAATAAGATAGAGCTTCTCTAGAATCCGGTCCTCCAAGGAATAACACAATGAAGCTGCAGCAAGGTTTTTGGGGGAGTTGCCATCGCTCGGACTTTTCAACAAGAAGCCCAACAGAGCAAGGTGCGTTCTCCAACACTTGGTTGAGCACTAACCGATTCCCACCACCCCACTGCGTCGTGGTCGCAATCTCTCCGTCGCATTTCTTCTCTAAAGGTAATATGATGATAACGGACTTGCTTATCAAAGCCAGCTTGCACACATCCTGATACATTGTTACTTTCGCTGTTAAAGCAGAGAAAAATTGGAGATCTACGTAATCTTCTTTCCCTTCCTGATATAACTTTAGAGAATGGCGGATTGTTTCCCAGTCCGGGAACCTGGTGACAAGCTCTTCAAGTTCCTGGTTTTGGTGGTCTATGAACAGAGGGTTAGCTCGGCCGATGAGCTCCACGAGGTGGAAGACTTTAATGGAGAATGGGTTTCGAACAGTGGGATAAGAGACTTGGAGAAGGTTAACAAGGCTTGGCAAATGCCTTTTGTCCTTAATGCATACTAATATCTTAAGACGGTCACTCGGAGCTGTATGTTGAACGGTCCTGCTCTGGTTTACCATGTAAGGCTTCGAGGGATCATACAAAATACTGATCAAAGGTGCATGGATTCCCATTAGAATTGCGTTCCCGAACACCAACATTGAGAAACCTGGCACCCCGATTATCTGCTTGTAGAACACCCACTTGTTTAATAAATAAGATGAAATAAAGAAAGAAGAAATAAAGTTAGAAAACACACATGTTTGTCCACCCAATGAACGTATAGAATAAGCTCCGCATGACCCCTCATACACAAAACAAGTCCCATAGCAAGACTATCTCTCCATGACAAACCTACCATCTTGGCAGCCAACAAAGTGGAGAGGAATTTGGACAAGTAACCTGAAATAACCAAGCCAAACAGAGGGCTCAAGGCAGACCAGCTGGCTTCCTTCATTGCATAAAAATCAGTGGAGAATCCGATGTACGTGAATGAACAAGGCAAAATTATTTCCATTATAATTGTCTCGCTTTTCTCCACCAAGGTTGCCCCTAGCGGCGGTCCGTCTGGAACCACCATTCCTAGCCAAAAGGAGCCGATACAAATGGCTAGGCCGATCATGTCTGTAAGAAACCCCAACACGAATGCCGATAAGAAGATGGAAATCACGTAAAATTGATCAACTGGTTCTTCATCTGGAGTGTTTTGGATAATCCACAACATTAATCGTCGGACAACAATGGCCAAGAATGCTGTAAAAACGACCGAGGATATCATATACAAGATGGCATTATGAAGCGATACTTCATTTTGTTTCATTGCCTCAAAAGCCACCATAAAATTTAGCGCAATGGTGTCGCTAATTATTGTTGTTGACATTGCCATATTCCCAACCTCGGAGCTAAGAAGGTTTAATTCTTCAAGTACTGTATAGTGGATGGGAAATGCTGTCACCGAAAGAGACAAGGCAATTGCTTCAATGGAAGCAACTTTTTGTAGGTTTTTGTCCATCGATTTTCGAGTGCTAAATCCTACGATGCTCGCTACTATAAGTGGCACCAAAACGCTTGGGAGGGCAATACATAATTGTTTTTTTCCCGATCTTTTTAACAAGCCCATATCCATTTTCACTCCACTTACGAAAAGAAATAGCATCAACCCCATTATTCCCACGTTTTTCAGCAAGAAGTCGGATGTAAGAGGAAACACCATGCTCACAAACATCGGGCTTCGCGCCATGAGAGAGGGTCCAAGGATAATGCCGCCCTTGAAACCATTAAATCATCAACGACAGACAAAAATAACTTACTACATATATATAAAAAGAAGAAAAATTATAATTCAAAGAAAAAAGGAGTAAAGATACGTACTAGTAACTGAGAAACGAACCTACACTGTTTGAAAGGCTTGAGAAGAAAATGGAGGGTTTGGGAGATGAGAATGGTCAAGATTAAAGAAACAAGGATGACATTGAAAGATAACTTGACCGGGTTTCCTCGGTAGAAAATGCTGAAGGGGTTATTTACTTGTGATCTTAAACACATCAATGGATATGCTGCAGTTCCACGGTTGGCGACCTGAAATTTGGCACCTGTTGTAATTCCCATGGCTGGCGGGCTACCCGGTAGCCTTGTGAATGGGTTAGGGAAAACTTAAGGATGCAAAAGGGCTAGTATCTATTACTGCTACATGATCAGGGGAATTTTGGATGACAACTATGTAATGGGGCTGAAAGGTAATCCATTTGGTATTGAGAATTATACTTGATAGTAACATGCAGTAAAATGAGGTCGCAGGTTTTCTGTATCTTTGTTCTAGAAGAACTATAGGTACCTATATGATTTGCTATACATTCATTCATGCATGCATGCATGGCATGAGCTTGTATTGTTAGGGATGAAGCCTTTCTCTCTCTTTGATTTAATGTTCGAAAAGGTAACCACAAATTTAATTGTTGTTTACACGAAGTGTGATATTTTTTGGTAATTTTGTAGAGGTTAGGGCGTTGTGGATGCCACTGGACAAGAGGAAGCAATGAGAACTCAGAAATTAAAGGCAGAGCAGCTACAAGTAAGGCGTCTTTTATGCTGCTGATGTAGTGAGTTACCATCTACAACATAAAGAGAGAGAGAGAGCACAATGACCAAATAAGAAGAAAATGCCACACCTCACACATGGATTAGATTGGACCTTGGAGTTGCACTCAAATTCAAACTTGAAATTGGCTCCCCATCTCTGACCTCCCTTTAATAGTAAATTAAATTAATATCAATTATTTTTATTTGACGATTGATTAAATCCAACTACATAAATTTTTGGATAAATTACGCGTTAGTATCTAAACTATAAGTTTTGGCTCGTTTTAGTACTTAAACTTTCAATTTTTCAAAACCATACCTAAAGTTTAATTTTTATTTTAGTATCTTGTTCAAAATTTAGCATTAGATTTAAAAAAATGAAAGTTTATGAATTAAAACGGATCAAACTGATAGTTTAGATACTAAACACATTAAGTTTTTAATGTTGGGGTACTAAAATAAAAATAAAAACTAAACGTTAGGTATGATTTTGAAAAAAATAAAAGTTTATATACTAAAATAACTAAAATTGATAGTTTAGATACTAAATGCGTAGTTTACCTTATATTTTTTACTTCAGCTATTTTTCTCTTAATCAAATAAACTTTATTAAATAGAAAAGAAGACATAAAAACGTACTTTATATATATAATATTTAAATTATCTATAATATTTTACTCTTAAATTAAAATAATTATAGTTGAAATACTTAATTTATAATTTCTTTTCATTAATCCAGGGTGATAATAATATATGTTTTAGAGATTTTCAATTATTGATAATAAATATTCAAACCTTGTTATCGTTAATATTCAAACTCGAAATTTTTAAAGATAATATTCATCTTTCTAAACTTATATGTTATAATATTAGGTTGATTACGTTGCATACAAGTTTGATTTGCATATGCTAACGCTGCTATCAATCCAATATATTAACCCTCAATTCTAAACTAATGACGACAATAGAAAGTAAGTGTTTAGTTGTTAGTCCACGTTTTATATTTTTTAAAATTAGGAATTCCTTATATACTATTATCGATATGGATATTTAAACGGTTAATTTAGCCACCAACCGAACTGAATTATCATTAATTGAATTAACAAAAAAAATTCTTTAACTGATAATTGAACCGAATTTTATTTGAAAATATTAATTGAACCAAACTTTATTCGGTTAATTTGGTCGGTAACCGAATTAACTTAATTTTTTTATATTTTTTAGTTGGATTAATTTAAGCTTAATATAAATATTTTTTATTTGAATTAAAATTAATTATGTATTGATAATTTAATGGGTGTAAACTACATAGGGCTAGAGGGGGCTATGGCCCCCTTAAAATTTGGAAAAATTATTACAAGACCCTTCAAGTTTTTAAAATTTTTATTTATCACACTTAAAATATTTGGAAAGAATATTTTGTTCTCTTAAAATTGTCAAAATTTCATATTATTATTTTTTTGAAATGCAAAATTAATATACGTATATGTTTTTTGTTTATAAATAAAATTAAATTGATATTCTCAAAATATAAAATTTATATATACATTTTGAATTGTCATAAATAAAAATCATAAATATATGAATTTAAAACTATTTATTAAAATATTAATTTTTAAACTTATAATAGCTTAGAACTAAAAAATATTGATAATAATATAATTATTATACACATAAATAATTATTTTTGAGTTTTTATTTCAATATTATCTTCCATTTCTCATATCTTGATTTTCTTCTTTTCCCCTACTTTTAAATTATTTTAAATAAAATAAAATAAGAAAAATTATATTAGAGGAGACCAAATTTTTATTTTTCTTTAAAATTTTAATGGTCGAAAATTTTCAAAAATCTCACATAATATTTTAAACACTTTTAGCTCTTACTTTATTCTATAATAAAAATAAATTCCTATTACTTTCTTAATATTTTAGGTGTACTGTATACAGTTTGGGTGTCAAAATATGCTACTATAATTTCATATCATTTTCTTCCCAAGAAGATTTTAGTGGAGAATTTATAAAAAAAACATCTAATAAATCTACATTTGTTTAATGAAATCACATATAAATATACGAGCTTTAATAAATAAAGTTATTATTAAAATTGTTTTTGATAATTGGCCCTCCAAAGTTATTATGGAAACCCAAATATTTACAACCTTATGTCATCATCAGTTTATATGCATGATTGGTAGATTTATGACCATGCCATGTCCTTCCTAATTGCTAGGCGTGAGATGAAAAATAGGAGGGGGGTGGGGAATATTAAAAAAATAACGGATTCATTTGAAGAATAAAGCCCCGTAGTAATTCAAAAGAATCAAACCATACAAATTGAATGTGAAACTTCAAAGTTTCAAGTCATATCGCTAAGGGAACCGTTATTAGGTTAGTAAGAAGCAAAGAAAGTAAGTGTGTTATATGGAAAGGAATTACATATCACCGAAACAAGCTCCGCCGCCGACTAGTAGTTGTTGTAGGACTAGTGGTAGCAGCAGCAGCAGCAATAGTGTTGCCTCTCAAAACTGGCTTTGTTGGGAAATAAACCGAGTACAAGTAATTTCTCTATAACCAGATTAGTAAGAATTCGAAATAAAAGCGGAAAAATAATACCCGAAAATTGATAACGGAGTTCAGCCAATTGTGCTTACGACTCCGGACTGCTGCAGATCTTTTACTAAGAGAGAAAATTTACAGGTGTTTACAAAACACTCACTACTCACAAGAAACTCTCTAGTATTGGGAGAAAGAAATGATTTGGGATTTGGGATGATTTTGAAGCTAAATGAGCTAGGGTATTTATAGTTGAAACTTAGGGACTAATCTTTGAAAATACCCTACAGTGCAATGACTAAAGTGAATTTACCCATTCCTATTTTCAACAAACATCTACCAAACTTTGAAAAACATTTTTCAAAGAAACATTTACCAAACTTTGAAAACCATTTTCAAAGTTGGTTGCCAACCTTTGGACTTTTAACAATCTCCCACTTGAAGACTGATTTTAATATGTCTTCACACCTCGATCGATGCAACATCATTTCTAGTCTTGTTATTCTTGCATGCCAACTGAAGCTGAACACAACTTTAGTTTGTCCGTGGTTACCGTCTTTGTCAACATGTCTGTCGAATTTTGAGCTCCGCTAATCTTTTCAAGTTTCAAAATCCCATCTTCTAGAAGAGACCGAATAAAATGATATCGCAATTGTATGTGCTTCGTCCTGGAATGAAAAGACGGATTCTTTGCTAGATGGATAGCACTTTGACTGTCGCAATACAAGCCATTGTTTTCTTGTTTCTTGCCTAACTCTTCCAAGAAACTTTGGAGCCAAACCATCTCCTTGCTGACTTCCGTAACAGCGACATATTCTGTTTCAGTTGTGGAGAGAGCAACTATCTTCTGTAGTTGAGAAACCCAACTCACTGCGGTTCCTCCTAGAGTATAGACATACCCTGTAGTGCTCTTTCTGATGTCAACATTTCTAGCTAAGTCAACATCTAGCTAAGTCAACATCTACATAGCCTGTCAGTATCGTATATCCACATTTGAAACAAAGTGCTTTGTTTGTGGTACCTTGCAGATATCTGAGGATCCATTTGACTGCTTCCCAATGTACCTTGCCAGGATTATTCATGTACCTGCTAACAGCTCCCACTGCATGAGCAATATCTGGTCTGGTACAAACCATGGCATACATCAGACTTCCAATTGCTGAGGCATACGGCACCTTCAACATGTGTGCACGTTCTTCCTCCGTCTTTGGTGACTGTTCTTTGGAGAGTCTAAAATGAACACCTAAATGTGTACTTACTGGTTTAGCATCTTGCATATTGAACCTGGAGAGTACTTTGTTGATGTACTCAGCCTGTGATAACATCAAAGTCCCAGACTTTGTGTCTCTCTTGATCCTCATCCCAAGAATCTGCTTTGTAGCGCCCAGATCTTTCATTGCAAACTGCTTCGACAATTTTTGCTTCAAGTTTATAATTTCTTGCACGTCTGAGCCTGCAACGAGCATGTCATCAACATACAACAATAAAATAATGAGGCTATTGTCGAACATCTTGATATAACAACAATGATTTGTTTGGCATCTGGTAAAACCACTGCTACTCATGAAGCTATCGAACTTCTTGTACCACTGTCTAGGAGCTTGTTTTAAACCATACAAGCTCTTCTTCAACCTGCATACCAGGTTTTTCTTGCCTGCCTCTATGAAGCCTTCTGGCTGCCTCATATAAATTTCTTCCTCCAAATCACCATGAAAGAAAGCTGTCTTCACATCTAACTACTCAAGATGTAAATTCTCTGTAACTACAATTTTTAACACCAGTCTAATTGTAGATAGCTTCACGACTGGAGAGAAAATTTCATTGTAGTCAATACATTCTTTTTGTTGAAAACCTTTGACAACCAATCTTGCTTTGTAGTGTTTGCTCCCATCATGCTCTTCTTTGATCCTGTAAATCCACTCGTTGTGGAGCGCTTTCTTGCCTGGTGGTAATCCAGCTAATTCTCACGTCTGATTT